CCACCAAAAAATGTTAATTAAATAAAAAAGAATCGAGTAGGAGTACTAAAAATTGATAAAATAAAATAAAACCGGGAGGCACTACTGCAAACACGTTCCAGCTGCACCGGCTACAGCTCCGCCCCCCCCCCTCGACTGCCATTGATGAGTTCAGGGCTGTCCAAAGAGCATAGATTGGGGTGGAAATAGGCAGGTGACTTACTTCAGTCATTAAGTGCTGCTGGGATGGGTGGGGAAGTTGTGGCTTTGCACTACAATACAGAACCCTACAGCACCACACTGCATGCAGTGTATGCCAGGCCTTACAGGCCTCCCCACAACATCCCACAGGCCTTCCTTGAGACTCCCTTTAACAACCCACGATTCTTGGTTAATGATGACAACTAGCAATGCCAGGATTGTGGTCACTAAATGGTGCGTTCACGTAGCAATCTCACTTTATGACCACACTGCATAATGATTGAAATTCCATTCCCAATTGTGGTCATCTTTATAAGTCATTCTTATAGCTAAGTAAAGCTATAGTAAAGCTAATGAACGTTGTTCTGATTGTAGCTGCAGGTCAGTAGCTTTAGCCATACACTTTAGCTTGCTACTTTAAGACAAGTTATAAAGACATTGTTTATAATCTTCAGAATTAGGAAAAAAATAATTTCTAAAATGTTAAAGTAGCCTAAAGTCGATGACTAATGCTATGAACTGCACTTGCAATCTGAGCTGTGTTCATTACTGTAATTTTATTTAATGGAAGCAATTAACCTGTAATCCTAGATTCAACAAATTCATCCAAATTGGAATTCTGGGATTAAACTATATTTCTTAATAATTTAAGCAGTACTAAACAGTTCAGAAACACCAGACTGTTCAGCTGTGATGCTAAAGATTTTACCACCAATACCTACATTTTCTATGTAACATTTGATTAACGGATCACTGAGATCATATAAATGCATCCCTCACATTGACTTTAATTTAGTGGCATTATCAAGTATAATAAACATTCTAATCCCATGATAATTTTCTATTTTTTCTTTAAGAAGACTCTGTTGTGACAATCAAATGTACACTATTACATATAACAGATTACATATACTAAATTGGCATTGGAGAAAAGGTGGAAATAGTACAACTTCCAACTGGCCTGACAAAGTGAACTGAATTAATAAAAATATTTTACATAATGCGATATTTATGTATTCTATGTGTTAAGTAATATAAATAATATGAAGCAGTTTTTAATTAATACACTTTCTAGTCATGACTTTTGATTTCAAAGTACTTACGAAGAAAAATAGACTCACCTTCTATGACTCCATTAATAACAAGTGAAATGATAGCTAGGACATTTTCACAAGAAGCTTTATTTATCTAAACAAAATATAAAAACAGCCATCAAAATTGGAATCATATGACACTTGGAACAGAATACAGTGCATTATCTTTATGGACTGCATTGGAAAGTTGCTATCTATTTTCCTTGTGGTCTTCGCAAATTCTTGGGGGGAAAAGTGTTTAATTCCCAGGAGTAAAGGTGGCGAGAAATCTTACGGTCATATTAGAGTATAGACTAGATCAAGGGTAGTCAACCTTTTTATACTTACCGCCCATTTTGTATCTCTGTTAGTAGTAAAATTTTCTAATCGCCCACCGGTTCCACAGTAATGGTGATTTATAAAGTAGGGAAGTCATTTAAATTAAAAAAAAGGGAAGTGCTTTAGTATCGGACAAAACCCTTACTGCCCACCACGAAAGCTGAAACGCCCACAAGTGGGCGGTAGGGACCAGGTTGACTACCACTGGACTAGATTTTGATAACAAGTCTAATGAATTTTTCACTCTTAATGGGATTAATGATATCATTAATGGGATTAATGATAAGAACCAAACAGTTTTATTACTTATCCTGCTCATCACATACTGATTGTCCTTGTTTAGCAACCACAATTGTGTGAAAAAGTGAAAAATCGTATGGCCACGATTATGTTTATAATTTTATCTCAACTTTCCTCTGCTTTATGTGATAGAAGCTTATGACTCCAAATCATGTAACCTCAAACAGTGGAGAAAGTTTCCAGAACTCAACTAAAGAGGAAGCTGGATAAAAGAACAAATCTTATAGCCCCTTTCAGTGGTGAAATCTAATTCTTTTTCCTACCGGTTCTGTGAGCATGGCTTTGTAGTGGTGGTGGTATCATGTGATTGGGTGGATGTGGCTATGTAGTCACGTGACTAGATCAAAAGACAGAAACTCATTTTAACAATGTCTTGCTGGAACAGGGGGTTGGATTAGATGACCTCCAGATCCCTTTTAGCCCTGGCTTGTTATGCTCTTTCAAAGTATCCTCTGAAGTTGTGTCTAGTGCCAGGTTTGTGGTCTTCCTCCCTCTCCTCTCTCTCTCACAGCACTCCCCCGCCCCCACTTTTTAAAGCATCTTTTCCCTGCCTATTCACTCAAACCGGGAGGATTACACCCTGGCCCCTTTCCCCCACTCGACTCCCCTTTTGAAATCCCCCAGATCTGAAATAATTACAAGATGGGAAATAAAGTTGTATTTTGTATTTACATTTATTGGAGAGGAAGGATTATAAGAGATTAACCAGACACATAATAGAAAATACACATTGAAAAGAATGTACTGTGCTAGCTGTTTACCTAGCACACTGGCATTTAGGAGTTGAAAAAAAAAAAAGGAAAGTGTGAAACTGATTAAGGTTTTGTCAATTACAAGTAGCAGCTGCCAGCCAGCTAATTAAGGTCACAGAGCTAAGTTTGTTAACTCCCTCTTAGGGAAGTGCTGTGTAAAAAAGAGATTGCTTGTTTAGGCATTCTCTCCATTCTATGAGGGGAGAAAATAAAATAATAGATCAGGCAAAAGACAACATGTAAATGGCAAACATGTGACTGAGACAAAGACACTGAGAATTTCATAAATGCAAGCATTGGTCACAAATTTACTTTTTCATCACAGTCATAACTTCAAATTGTTGCTGCCTGAGGCAATCACTATGCAAGGTCTACTTGTATTACATCCTTGATTCCAACTCTAATTTCATGCAAAGTAAATACCATGTATGAACAGTGTTTCTTTGGGCCATAGAATCTGTGCAACTAAATATTCTGAAGCCAAGACCCTTCTATGTATAAAGATATGCATTTAGAGATGTTCTCACCTTGGCTAAAGAAATAGAAAATTCACAAGTGAAGCAACGTTAAGTTGCTTCATTGGTTTGGCCCAATATAGTCTAATAGAATTTAAGGCTTACTGTAGCTAATATAAATTCACAAAACTTATTGATTCAGGAACAAAATACATTGTTCCTCCTCTGTATACAGCTCAACTTCTTCATGGTCATGCTGTTTCAGAGTTGATTCAAAAGCTGCAGAAGTAGATCTCTTGAATTAGATATAATTTGAAGTGTTCTGGACATTCAATCTTATTCTGAGACCGGACCATATCCACACTTCTGGAAGTTTACTTCCAGAAACTAAAAGTAGTTTAGAATGACATCACTCAAGATACTCAATTAACTTTCACATACACAGTTAATCAAAAACTACTCACAATTTCTTCTTCCAGAGCAACTCGGAAAGCTTGATCCAGTGTTAACTTTTTTTCATTTTCACTAGAAATATATAAAAACAGCAATAGCATTGGACTTATATACTACTTCTTAGTGCTTTTACAGCCCTCTCTAAGCTCTAAACTCTAAGGTTTAAGTCAGCCTATTGCCCCCAACAATCTGGGTCTTCATTTTACCCACCTCGGAAGGATGGAAGGCTGAGTCAAACAAAAATATTAGATTGCTTTGCTAAAACTTTCAATTTTAATAAAATACTATATACATACATTTTGTTATGATCACAAATAAAATTGAAATTTACCTTCCAGGTACCTGGCTGAATGCAGTCAATAAAGGCTTAATGGTTTTATTTTTGAGTGCATCTCGAGTAGAATTCTAAGATAAAAGTGAGAATAATATTTTATATTATTTGAAATAACATTTGATATCAGATATTAAAGCAATATATGTTTTAGAAAATCTACATCAAACTTAAATTTGAAAATGTAATTCAAGATGACATAAATATTGGTCTCCTAGGATTTACCACACCTCAAACTATAGAAAGTGTTCCATTTTTCTATTGTTCAGCATATTTTTAAAATACACACTAGATACTGTCTTCTGTTGCGTTCTGTAGGTAATCCTCAAACCGTTTAGGACATGGACTGAATTATAGCCAACAAAAATGATGACAGACAGCACTCCTGTTGTGCGTGGACAAGCCAAGAGAAGCCATTTATTTTTTTACAGTATCAAAACACCCCAGTTTTAGAATCTATGTGATGCTGTAAAGATGCTCATCATGTCTAAGCAGAATAGAAATGCAATTGTCATCAGTCCAGTTGCCTGTACAATAATGGATTGTATATCAAAAGCTCAACACTTATCAGAACTTTCTTCCAGGGTTGGGGCTCTCTTTTTATGTCCTTTGTGTTGCAACAGAGTAATACACAAGGTGAAGTAGCCAAGACAAAAGTGTTCTTACCTAGTCTTACCTTCCCCAACTTCCAAGAGCAGCTCTATCAACTACTTCTTGGGATGTCATACTGGGCTGATGTTGAACTTACACATCTTGTCTAAGCATCACCATTTCCAATACTGGAAGAGCACCTTGTGATGGGAGGCAAAGCTTAGTTAGGCTGAACAGGAATGAATACACTCCTCCTCAAATTGGCAATGAATCCCTGGGGATCCCTACTCACCATTTTAATTTTCTGAAGTAACATAATTTCCCTGATATGTATCAACCTACAGCTCAACTTCTGCAAAACGTCTAAACTGGTGAAATATAAATGTGCTACACTGACTGTAATTTAGATATAATATAAATTATAACGATATAAGCCTTATAAGGGGTTCTCGGTGCTCTCTGAGCTTGTTTTCTTGCAGACATTTCATTGCCCTAACTAGGTAACATTAAAAGGTAAAGGTAAAAGTTCCCTTTGCACATGTGTGCTAGTCGTTCCTGACTCTAGGAGGTGGTGCTCATCTCCATTTCAAAGCCGAAGAGCCAGCGCTGTCAGACATCTCTGTGGTCATGTGGCCAGCGTGCTGAAGAAGGGGAACCTGTTACCTTGGTGGTTCCTATTTTCCTATTTGCATTTTTTACATGCTTTCAAGCTGCTAGGTTGGCAGAAGCTGGGACAAGCAACGGGAGCTCACTCCGTTATGCATCCCTAAGATGCGAACCACCAAACTGCCGACATTTTCTGATCGACAAGCTCAGCGTCTTAGCCACTGAACCGCTGCGTCCCATAATATTATCAATCCATAAAGATATAAACACAGTAATTATACACAATTTGGAGTTTTACAGTAGCTCACTCACTCACAAAAGCATCAAAATGTTATTACAACCCCCAAAGTAGCACCAAGAATTTCCATGTTATACCGGTTACTAAGCAAAACAAAACAAAACAAAAAACACACAACCAAACACCAATAACTTTACAACGTTGCTCATTAATAGATATCAGATAATTCTTTGACCGGTTTACTCTAGTTAAGTTCATAAACTCCAAGGTGCACCACTAGTCATCGAGGACGATAAAAACGGCAGCACCAAGCACCTAAAAGAACGCAAAGGCGCCAGAGAGAGAGAATATCTCCATTCTGAACGCTGAACGAGGATGAGAAAGCCATCGACGCCGGTCTGAAGTCGACAGAGAAGCACGCAAAGGACGCGAGAAACGGGACCGGGCCCGTCCTTACTCGCGCTCCATCTGAAACCCAGTCGGAAGGTCTCTCACCTCACCCGACTGCAGCCTCCCACTTACCATGAAACGCATACGCGCCTCCGGCAAGCTGAACAGCGTCGGCGGCGACATCCTTGCTCCTGACAGACTCCACGGTGACGCATTCCATTGACGTCATCCCACGGCGCTGAGAGGATTCTCTTAGGCGCACGATCGCCCCTTGTGCCCGACGTAGTGCCCGACGTACACTGGGGTCCTTTGCGGCGGAAGCGGCCGGTGTTTTAACGCTAGTGTGCCGCCTGGGGGAATTCTGGGACTTGAAGTCCAAGCATCTTCAAGTTGCCAAAGTTAAGAATCTCTGCTTTAACAGATTGTCTTTTCTCTCCAGCAGGTCGGTCTGTTTCTGGACGGAGGGAGTTATTCGTAGAAGTACGTTAAATATATATTTATTAGCTTTATATAAATCGAGGCTGTTAGTTAATAACAAAGATTAGGTAAAGGTTTATTGCGTTTTGTGAAAATGTGTGGTCAATTTATGTATAAGACAAAAAGCAGTTGCACAGGGACAATACAATTAGCGTACACCAGGTTTGATTGACTGATTTGATTTATAGCTACCCATCTCACAATAGCAACCCTGGATGGCTTGTAACATTTAAAAATAATATGAAAACATTACACAAATTTGTTTAAAAATAACACAGAAGGAAAGGTGATGATAGTAAAATAACACATTTAAATGGTTCTGTGATGTGTATTTTTCTCCTACTGGTATATGCAGCCCAGGTATTCATCACTGAATATAAAGACATAAACTCTGTCTTATATAGAATGATCTTTACCATCTCAAGATGTAGACGGAAGGGAGGAGTGCTAGTAAATATTCTGGCTGTATTGAAAAAAAATTAGCAGAGCAGAAAGGGACTGAGAGAGAATCACAATGGAGGCTTGTTTATTGCTCCATGCCCATCAGGTGCAAGCTGGGGCAGTAGGGAAGGGAGTTTTCATCAGTGTTGTCCTTGTTATGAAATATTCTGTGCTAGGAGGGTTGCATGCAGGGGTGGGTTCCTGCCAGTTCTAACCTCTTCTATAGAAGAGGTTCCACAAATCTATAGTGCCGTTTAGAACCAGCTCCAGTTCCCTCCCCCCGCCCATCCGCATATCAACAAGATGAAGAGCGAGAGGAGGAATTCTGGGAGTTGAAGTCCACAAGTCTTAAAGCTGTCAAGTTTGAACCCCTCTGGGGTTTTTTTCGAAA